ATTAAGGTTTGTATTTTTTCCTAAATATTTTGATATGAAAACAAATACATGGTCAGGTGTAATGTTCAAAGAGCAAAGAAATAATTTACTTGTCTTTTACAGCTCAGCTGATGTTCGCATCAGAAGACTGCTGTATGATAACGAGGTAAAGTTGTCTAGGGAAGCAGCAACCATCGAAGTCTGACCTATGTCTTTCTATTTCCATTTCAAAGTAGTGTCTTCACTGGAGTTTTCAAAAGCAAAAATTTAAACTACAGTGGTGCCTCTGTACTTGTCAGTAATTTGGTCTGGAACTCGTGACGAGCGCTGAAACCGATGAGTACAGAGCAAGCAATGAGTGATGAAGCGTTTTCTCTCACGGGCTGGTGTCAGTGTCGTGGCTCATGCAAGTTCTAGCAAGTGCCACAAGCCCAGAGCCAGTGCGGGGTGCTGAAACATTGTTTTCCCCATCAAAATACAACAAGTACAGGGTTTGACAAGTTCTGAAGCCAAAAAGTACTGAGATATTACTGTATATCTCTTCCAGATATTTAAATAGATAAATATATCTATGAAGTACCAACATTTAAATGTTAATATTCAGAAGTCCATTTATCATTTCAATCATTATGTAATTGATGGTAACATAGGATGACTTAAGGTCATTTGATGGTACTACTGCTGGTCCCTTACAGAGAGGCTAGAAGAACATCTATCAAAAACATTCACAGTCAGTTTGGAATCTCTTCATTAAATACTAAAAATGGTCACCACTAAAATGACTTTTGAAAAATTTTTCTTCCCACCTTTTTTTTGCATTGGTCCCTTTGGAATACATAAACATTACATATATAAGTGTTTTCCTTTGCTTGCAATTACACATAAGGAAATAGGCTCCCATCTTTTTTTCCTCCCTTATCTAGAATGTAACTCTTTGCTTAATCTTTCACATGGACTAGTCTGCCAAAGATTTTGTAATGGTATTTTTTTCTCTTTAAAAATGCTGAATAATAGCAATGTTGGTCTAGAACTTTTCTTTCTAATGGAAAGTTACAGCCATCACAAGTAGTTAATAATTTAAGACACATCAGGATATAGTGTGACAGAGGAGGAATTAAACAGAACTGAGTTTGATGCTAGCTTTACACGTGTAAGAGATGTGTGACTTTAGAGAATCACTTCATTTTAATTGTCTTTGCAATTGGCATCAAACCTATCTTGCAGAGATTTTGTGATGATAGGGGAAACTGTATCACCTAACAGTGAAGATGGTGGGGTCAGGGCAAGACAGAGTTCGAACATGACTGGCCCTGCCACTTATTAGCTGTGTGACCTTGTGAAAACAGAGGTAAGGGCTGTGATGAGGATTCAAGGACACAATACTTGTATAGTACTTGGCATGTGCCAAACAGTATTTGTAGTAATAGCATACTTGTAGCAGTATATGAGTAGCAGTATTTTCTACAGGTCTGTTTCAGGTTTATTCATCATAATAATCAAGAAGTCATTAAATCTGACCAATCTATTATCAAAACATTAACTTTATAATGACTTATCATTAACAATTAAACAATATAAGTATGTGTACAATGCCTAAGATAATTAGAGAAAGAAGTTTCCCTATAATATTTGTGTGATTTTAAGTTCATTATAGTTAGGTTCAAGCCTTTAGTAGAACAGCTCTTAACAGAAAACTCTTATGACTATTATAAATAAATTCAAGTAGCTAAGAAGTCAAAATTCATTTCTTATTTATGCTGAACTTTCAGTCATAGGACTTGCAACATACTACATATACTGTGTATAATTAATGTAGATAAATGACAACTTAATAAACTTGACATTTGTAGACAGGGTTTGGGAATGTTAGAACAAAAATACTAAAATCACATAAATTTAAATAAAGTTTCAAGGAGTTTTAACAATCAAGTATTAGAAATAATTTTCCAAGTAAGAATCAATATTCCTTTAACATTTTTTCAACATATAGAAAAGGCCTACTTTTCACCTGGCAATTACACTGATGGGATTATATGCTAAGAACCCTGGAACACCACTTCAAAAGAACCTATGTACCCAATGTTCATAGCAGTGTTATTTCAATAGCCAAGTGCTGGAAACAGCCTAAGTGCCCATCAGTAAATGAATGGATCAAAAAACTGTGGTACATTTACACAATGGAATACTATGCAGACGAAAGAAAGAAGGAACTCCTGCCCTTCATAACAGCATGGATGGAATTGGAGAGCATTATGCTAAGTGAAATAAGTGAGGCGGTGAAAGACAAATACCATATGATCTCATCTATAAGTGGAACCTAATCAACAAAACAAGCAAATGAGCAAGATAGAACCAGAGACATGGAAATAAAGAACAAACTGACAGTGATCAGAGGGGAGGGGAAGGATAACAGAGGAAAGAAGGGGAAGGGTCAAGTCAAGGAGCATGTATAAAGGACCCATGGTCAAAGACAATGGGGGTAGAGAACTGAAAGTGCAAGGTGAGGGGTAGATAGGGTAGGGGGGAGTAATGGGGGAAAAATGAGGACAACTATAATTGGACAACAATAAAAAAAAGAAAAAGAAAAAGAAAGAAAAGGCCTAGGTATGAAGCTAGGACTTTTTATACTTTATTGCATTTAATAATATATAATTATCATAATCCTAAACAGGATATAAAAGGAGAATTATAAACATGTGGCCCTGCCTTTGCAGACTATAATATATTAGATATATAAAATTATCTGAAATCACATGTTTGAGGTAGACTATAAGATAAGTGCTTTGGTAGATAGTACTGCTAATAGAAAGAGAACTAGTGAATATGAAGTGAGTTAACATTTAATTGGGATGTTAACTAACAAGACAAAAACTGTTTGGGAACACAAACTAAAGTATAAAAATTCAAATCGGAATACATTGATCCATTTGAAAAGATAAAACTATAAATGTTTTAGAAAGAAAAAGCAGGAAAATGATTGCTACAGCACAAAGTCTAGTAAGATGGGAGAAATGGGGAAGAGGAACCACTAACCATGAAAGAAACAGATAAATTAACTTTCATCAAGATTAAAAACTTTAGCTCTTCAAAGATATTTTTAAGAAAAGACAAATCACAACCTAGAAGAAAAATACTGCAAAACTGTACCTAATATGTATAAGGATTTTTAAAACTTGATAATGAGATGACTAAAAAGAAAATGGCCAAAAGACTAAGACAAAAGATAGGCAAATAGCCAACAAACACATGGAAAGATGGTCAACATTATTAGTTAGGCAGGAAATGCAAATTACCACAGTCATAACATTTCACACAGACCACAATGGCTAAAATAAAAAAGACTGAAAATAAAAATTTTGAAGACGTGATTCCTAGAGGGACAAAAATATATGTATCTGCACAAAGACTTCTAGGTGAATGGTCATAGCAGACTGATTCATAATAGTATCAATCTAGAAACACTCAAATGTCCATTGGTAAGTGAAAAGATAAAGAAATTGTGAGCCCTGACTGGCGTAGCTCAGTGGATTGAGTGCGGGCTGCTAACCAAAGTGACGCAGGTTTGATTCCCAGTCAAGGTACATGCCTGGGTTGTAGGCCATGACCCCCAGCAACCACACATTGATGTTTCTCTCTCTCTCTATCTCCCTCCTTCTCTAAAAATAAATAAATAAAATCTTAAAAAAAAAAAGAAATTGTGGTATGTTCTTACAACAGAAAACTACTTAATGATAAAAATAACCTCATGACACATACAACACTGTGGATGTTGATGATATTAAAGTGATTTTTTACATTGGGTAAATATTTGGAAGATCTCCATAACTCAGTGAAGCAATAATTTCCAAATGACCAAGGAACGATCTTTCAGTGTCTTGAGCTGCTATCAGTACTGGTATTATAGTTATTTCCTAGAGAAGTAAAGCAAAGTAAAACTCAAAACTTCTGTTAATAAAAGTAGGTCAATTCAAATCAGAGTGTTTTAGTATGTGCACTAAAATAAAAAAATTTACCATTTTATCTTATTATAACAATTTATCAATTTTAAAAAAGATTTTATTTATTTATTTTTAGAGAGAGAAGGGAGGGAGATAGAGAGAGAGAGAAACATCAATGTGCGGGTGCTGGGGGTCATGGCCTGCAACCCAGGCATGTACCCTGACTGGGAATCGAACCTGCAACACTTTGGTTTGCAGCCTGAGCTCAATCCACTGAGCTATGCCAGCCAGGCTAAAATTTATCCATTTTTAAGTCTACTGTTCATTAGTATTAAATATGTTCATAATAGGCTGTCATCATTACCAGCCATTTCCAGAGCTCTTTTCGTTTTGTGAAACTGAAACTCTGTATCCATTAAACAATAACACTCTTATCCCCACCTTCCTCTCATCCCTGACAACTGCCATGCTACCTCCGGTCTAAGATTCTGACTACTCGAAGTACCTCACATTAATGGAATCACAGTATCTTCTTGTGACAGACTTATTTCTCTTAGAACGAGGTACTCAAGATTCATCCAAGTTGTAGCATATGTCAGAATTTCCTTCCCTTTTAAGGATGAGTAATGTTCCATCACAATATATGCCACATTTTGCTCGTCCATCATGATGAATACTTAGTTTGTCTTCACATTTTAGTTATTGAAAAGAATGCTGCTATGCACACAGGCCTACAAATATCTCTTCAAGATCTCTGTTCAGACCACTTTAGAATTAATTAAAAAATATCACAACCAAACTGAACCTCACATCACAATGGAACTATCAAGTTCACAAGAAAGCAAAGAAAAAAATTAGGAAAGATGGACTTACCACATATTCACCGTACATTAAAACCACAAATACACAAGGACTTAATAATCTAAACTAAAAGATATTTTGCTGCTGTGGTATTTTAAGCATCTGAAATCCCTTTTATCTAAGGGACTTATGAAAATAATTTATTAGACCCCTAAAGCATTTATATTTTGCTCATCACTATGCATCACTAACGAGGGGAAAGTGGTTTTAGACAGTGCCTACCTGGATGAGGTGTGTTGGCATGGTGATGATGCAGGCTGAAAGCGAGGTTCGCAGGAGACCTCGGAGAACGTAGAGGAATTTTGTGAGGCTGTGACTGCTGGCACAGTGCTCTGCGCAGCAAACGTCATCTCCCCACAGAGGCGAGCCGAGACTCTGGATTCCTATTCTCAAAATGTTCTTCTGTTTTTTCTAGGGGAAAGTGGAGGAGAGGTAAATACATAAGTTTTTTAACCAAGGGATGCCTCTTTTACTTTTGCTATTTCTTCATTTTCTTTATAACAAATCATGGAGGTAATGCAGATATGGTAAAAAGTATTACATGCTATCAATAATAAGGCAACATAAAGAAAATCTAGATTACAATAGTTTTTTTTCTTTTACTTTTTAGACTTTTGAAGTGTATCACAGGCCTCAAGGTTTTAATTTTTTCTAACGTTTAAGAGTAACTATTCTAAGAATCTTTTGGAGGCAGTTCAACTACATAACAAATCAGAGATAATAAAGAAAATCTAATTTTGAGTGCTTATAAACCATTTTCAGTATTACAAAATTCTGTCTTTCAATAAATGATAAATTGCTCAATATTCCTCATTTAATTTTATCATGTTCACTGACTGACTTTTTTTTTAATTTAAAAATGCCTACTGATATTAAGGTCATAATTATAGTGACCGATATATTTCCTGGGGAAAAGAACATTTAAAACCATTACATAAAACCTAGCATGACTGTCAGAAAGTGTTTGCCAATAGATGTATTTATAATAAATTCTACTGTTTGGATTATTCTAACCGAACAAATGTTTTGTAAATGCTTTCCCGAGCAATCCAGCAAAAAATCTGGACAAAGGAAGAAGATCTCAGCAAAACCTGGCACTTGGAAATAATTGGGAAATCACTGCTTTGATTCTGATGGGAGAAACAAGATTTCTCTCTTAAAGCAAAGACTCGGAAGATGTGCCGCTTTAGAGTGTGAACTCTGATGACACTATACTCTCAAATATATCCCTTGCTAGTGCTATAGAATACTGTGAATGCAATTTATTATCCGATCATTTCTTGCCCAAAACATCTATCTCTTTGATATTACAGATGAAACCTGAATTTGTATATTTCCTTTTCAAGGAGAATTTATTGACAAAGAAAAGTAGGCAAAATGAATAAAACACTGAAATAATAGAAGAGGAAAAACTAGGGGGCAGTAGTTAGTAAAATGGGTAAGACAGAGACGCATGGCTGGACTGGGGAACTAAGGAGATCTGTGGTTCAGGTTAAGATACACACATTACTCAGACCTCAGTTTTCTCATCTCTTCAATACAAAGAATAGAACACTGCTCTATGAGACCACATAATCCTTCAAATATGTGAAATGACACAATGTCTTGGAGGAAACTCAAGAATGAGGTAACAGAAAGAGTAATTTAATCTAAGCACAGTGAAAAATCTCCCTGACTCCAAGGACCTGAAGCATGATGACACTATCAAGGCAGTGGATGCGATTTTCCTCTTCTCACTGAAGGAAGGTTACAATAGACAAACACCTGAGATACCGTATGTTATGATCCTAGATGGGTCAGAACAGTTTTCTTTTTATTTCTGCACTCCTTGAGTGAAATGCAGTAATAAGATGTACCGGGGCATATGCTGGAATTATAAATAAGTTTCTGGTGAATCTGTGGAACACAGCTGTGAAGCATGATGTTATTTATTCCTTTTTCCATATTACTTAGAAACTCAGAATTTAAGTAAAGTGGCACAATTAAGGTTTGTTTTTCGTCATGGCTGGGCGGCTCCATTAGTTGGAGCATCACCCCGTGCACCAAAGGGGTTGCGGGTTCAATCCCCATCAGGGTCCCTGTGGGAGGCAACTGAGTGATGCTGCTCTCACATTGACGTTCCCCTCCCTCTCTCTTTCTAAAATAAATCATATTCTCATTCTTGGGTGAGGATTTAAGAAAAAGGGTTCCTTTTTCATCCCAAAACTTATGAAATACAGCTTAACTTAGGCTCCCAACAGAAAGAGCAGTCTGAAAAAAGACAGAGAGACCCTAAGAAAAAAACTGAGGTGTTAGAATGAAATTTGAAGGTAAAGGTGGGCAGCTTCGTATTGTTGCTCCTCTCAACATCTCAACAAACTAAAGGTGGGCTACATTTTAACCCAGAGCCATCAATACCTATCACTGTTGTATCGAACAATACCTGCTAAACCAAAAATGAATCAGGAGAGTAACTGACTATAGGACATTCGTGACTTTGACAGATAAACTGATATATGCAAATAGAAAGAATGAAAATATTGAGCTGGACAATTTATGAGAGATATGGTATGAGTAGGAGCATAGCACATCACAATGTAACTGAGAGAATACTCCCAGAAAGGAAATACACGTTTTTTAAAAATACGACAGTAAGTTGTAAAAACAAAGGCTGAATTACAAATTTCCTGTGTTTTTTGAGACATTCAGTATCAGAATATTATTTTGACTTAGAAATATTTTTTCACGTAGTGACTGAGAGATGCTTGCTGTGACTTCCTGAACTATCTACAGTTCCCGAGATAGTTGTATAGACTTGGAAATTTAGTAAGCGATAAAATCTATAATTTAACAACACAGAGATTTGTTAACTATATTTGAGTTCCAACAAAACTGGAAATATGCTATTATAATAACTTACTGGTATATTTTTATTTAATTAAATAAATTTAGCCATCTTGGTATTCACCATGGAAATGTCCATCTCCACCCTGTTCAATCTTTCTGAAAGTCAACAGTTACAGAACTTCTGGTTCAGAGAGTGACACCAGCTACAATTTGTTATCTATCAACATTCATGAAATAAAATGCTATTTATGGAAAATGGGATAGTCTTCATACTCCAATAAACAACTAAGACAACAAATCTTTCATTCTATTTCATTTACAGCTTCCTTATTAAACGTCGTCTGAATGTATGTGTGGTGTGTACGTATATATGTGAGTGTATATACAGGTACATTTACATGTACGTATGTATCTTTTTGCTATTGTTTATTTTTTCTTCTAAATTTCTTGCTCTTACAAGATGTGTCGTCGTCCTGCAAGAGCAGCAGCTCTGCACAGTGTACGGCAGGATCTGTTATGACATGCCCGTTTCCATGGTTACCACAGCGTGTGGGGAGAGGTGTCTGTCAGGGACCAATTTACCTCTCCAGACGGGCACTGCCACCAAAGAGAAGACATAATGCCATAAATCTTTGCTAAGATAAAAAATGGAGCAACAATGAGCAGGACAAAACTGTACTACATTTGTGTACCGAGGGCCTTCACAAAAACTGTCACATGCATGAAACGCCATCTATAAATGAATATATGCTCCACCAGACACACATAAGTATTTTCAACCTGCTATTAAACTGGTGATCAAGACAAATTTAAAAAAATGTTTATTTTGCCATGGACAAAGTGTTAAATATAGCAGTAAAGTTTATAATAATACTTTTACAGTCAATGAATGAGGAGCAAATGTAATTGATAATGAGAAAAATAAGACTTTAGGCTTCTTTGTGTCCTTCAATAAAAATAACTGTGCTCGGGAAATAATTCTGCTAAACTAATATAAATGAAATGCAAACATTTTAGCAGCAATAGCAATTAAAATTACTGAGGAGGAATTCTGAGAGGTATGGTAGCTAGAAATAAAATCTCCCTCATTTTGTTTAAGTTAAACTAACCAGAACATCTTTAATAGTGGTAATTTGGAGAAATTTTAAAAAATCAAGCTACAGAAAAATAGTTAGGTTATAAAATATTTTAACATGGCAAATAAAAATGCATTTTATTCACTGAGGCAACTCCAAGCATACTATAATAAAAATAAAATCTTAAAATAATTAATTCTTACTCATAAGGTAATTAGAAATTAAGGTCTGAATGATAGAAGTATAAAAATTTAGACAGAAAAGTGTAAGACTGGCTGATTTAAAAGTAATTTCCAAAATGTGGCTCCGTCTTAATTCCAGGTGTTATAAATACATATTTTTAAAGTCATTCATGTTCACAGCATACAGGTACATCTTGTGTGCATTCACTGAGGACACGGCTGAAATCCTAGACACACATTCGTAGTCCCATTGAGGCTGCCTGTGCTCTGCTTATTTGTATCTGCTCGGCCTGGAAAACAGCTTGCTCACTGTTGATTATTCTAGGACCTTCTGGGTGTCCCCCTAGAGAGCTTGCAAACAACATTACATACATGATTATAAAAAGCTTTGAAGTTACTCAGTACCTGGGGATTGGATCCATCAAATCCTTCCTCATAAATGACTTTCTGGATAAACTGAAGCAGCTCGATGTAGCCATGGGTCAGAGAACTGTCGGTAAGAAGGGGTTCGAATACATAAATGGGCTGATTACCGAGGAGATACAAATGTAAGCTAAAACAGGCAGCAAATAATTAAAAGGTACACATTCATGAGGTTATTTAAATATAATAAAATGAGCCAAAATAGTGTAAATAATGATAAAAAATAAGGTCAATACATCCAGGGAACGAGATACAATGCCGTATATTAACTCGCTCAGTGTTCTTGACTTCATGGGAAGACAAAAATCTGTGGAGACTGAGATGACTTAATTATGTCAAGCTTAGTTACCTCCACGAAAATTAATGATTTAATGAAGCAACTTAAAAGATGAAGCCACTACAGCTTTTCAGGAGTAATCATAGATAATTAACACACAGTTAATGAACTACTATGCCATGTACACCTGAATAAATGTGCTGATCACCTGAGCTCATCTTCCATCAAAGTTTTAACGTGCTTAGAACAAACTGCTAAAATGATATTAATTCAAAAAACTGAATTAAGACAAATGAAGACAAGTGAGTGTAAACTCCACTTCATTTGTGAAAAGGCAATAAAGTTAATGTATAAATGTAATAAAATGATCTAAAATAAAGTATTTTGCACCAGAATAGTAACATTAGTGTTACTATTTTAAAAGACTTTGCAAATGCTATAAAATATCTCAAAGAAAATTTAGTAAGAGTGAAGAAAATCTGCTTTAACTGAATTTAAGATTCTTCATAATGGACAACCTGTGTGCGATGGCTGAACATTAAATGTCAAGATAATGAAGTTTTGGAGCATAGCTAATTGATAAACTTTAAAGTGCCAAATGTTGAAAATACTGTAGGTGACCTTAAAAATACACTGTGATTCTAGATTAAGTGATCACATAGGCAGAAAAAATGCCCTTAAAGAAAGAATGAAATATACTTTGAAGCATACATGCAATATTAAAGAACATAAAAGTTAGGAAATGTAGCAGACTGCTTAGTGTGCAGTCAATGGCAGGCGGTTCAGCAAAAATATATGCGTATCTCTGTAAAAGTTTTATTGAACATTCACACCTAGCCCCAAAATAGGTACATAACAGAAACCGAACCAAACAAACAAACAAAACAAAAGAATCCTGTTCTTTGCGAAACAAATATGGCTCCAATGGAAGGATTTGGCAGTACAGTTATTTCTCATATAGCTATTCCTCCACTTTCAGTAAAAATACAATGAGTTATATGGACACATTTTTCTACTTCCATGAATGAGAAAATGTGTCTATAAATAATGATATTCCATAAGGTCAATGATGGGATTACTTCATATTTTCACACACATTTGTCCTGGTTAGCTTCACTGTTCAACTTCCCCAACACAGTGTTGCTGTTCGGACACAGCAGACGTAATTCCTATCTGAGTCAATTAGCTTTGCTCAGGAGGTGAGATCTGCTCCCAGATTTTGAAATGAACTCCAGCCAACCATTTGACGAATGTCACTACGGGTTAAAGGAGGATGGATCAAGAATATATTCAGTGCACCCTAACCCACCAATAATGAACCTACCTAAGAAAATTATTGCTTCACACACGTGAAAAAAATTTAGAGCATTTCCCCTCTGCCTGAAATTGTTCAATAATAAAATCTGCCTTAAGTACTTGGTAGTAAACTTGCGATCTGAAAGCACATTATTAAATAACACATACATAACTTACATTTTAGTGTTTTAATTGCCACCAGTCATTCAACCAACATGATCTGTTATTTATTTTACATCTTACTCTCTGTTAAGATAACGATAAGTAGATCTAAGATTCTCTTCAAAGGTAAAGGGTTTCTTTTGATATGAGAATAAAAATGAACATAAAGCCAATATCTTAATCTCTTTCCCTATTAAATACTGACATAAATAATGTAATCAACAATGCTTAGAACTTTTTAAGTAATAAAATACATTTCTCCAAAGTAAGATTTCTAGGAAAATAAATATGGGGTAACAAAATAAAATGGGGAAAAATCAATACATTTAGATAAATAAATTGAGGATATTCATTTTTGTATACACAAAATCATATCAGTTAAAACTGAATCATTTTATATGGTCTTGATATTAAAAATATTGGGTGTTGTTAATCTCCATGAAGTATATTTCTTTGTCAGTAAGCTCATTTAATAGTATGGTTTTTGGGTGAAATAAATATCTTCCATTGTTATCTAAAAATTTTTTTTATGAAACCCCTTTGATTTTGAGGATGTTGTCTTTTTTTTTGTTGTTGCCCTTCAGCAGTCTAGTAACTCATAAAACAGAAACTGGCACGAAGGAAAGCTAGTTACAAATATGACCCTGGCTTCCTTACGTTTCCAGACCTTTAACAAAGGTGAGGTTATCAAAGTATTTACAATAAGTTCCAAAGGCACTGCATTTCAAATCACATACATTCTTTAATGATTTTCATAGTTTTCAACAAATTTCATAGTAAAATGATCTATCTTGAGATTCTACAATATCTTTAAAACTGTAACAGTACAAAGAATATGAAATTATTAGAAATTTAATTTTTACCTGTAAATATCAAGCATTTAAAATTTTCTTTAGTTAAAATCATTGTTCCACGTTCATTATTCATGTGTCTGTTTATGTTACTATTCATTTCTTTGTATTAATATACAACATGGCAAAAGGAACCCAATGAAACAAATGTAAATCTGTATTGATGACTGAGCTTAACTTTCAGTTTTTATCCTCACCTGAGGGAGGAAGGAAGAAAGGGAGGAAGAGAGGGAGGGAGAGAGGGAGAGAAAGAAACATTGATGTGAAAGAGAAACATCAACTGGCTGCCTACTTATGTGCCCTGACCAGGGAAGGAACACACAAAGTAGATATGTGCCCTGACCAGGAATCGAACCAGCAACTTTTTGGATAATGCTCCAGTCCACTGAGCCACACCAGCCAGGGTGAGTTTAACATTTTTTAAAGAGCTGATAGAAAAAATTTTTGTGCCTATCAATATCAGTTTGCAGTCTAACAGACATTTTGCATCAGAGAACTTTAATGTATATCAACAAATGACACTGGTTTTCTTGTAAAAAGTAATTTTGCCATTCAATCTCATTAAGGAAGATTTAAAAAATCTGCTGTAAGAAAATGAATCAGTTGTAGTCTATCCAGTAAAGAAATCAAGTAGATAATAGATAATTATGTTTCAGATTCTCAAACAATAAACAAAGAAATACTTACAAATCTTAATGTGATCAAAGAATAAATGTGCCAACGACAAAAACGCTTGGGTAATAGGAGGTAAGATTTTATTTGTGAAAAGGTAAACTACAAAAATAAAATAATGTATATATAAAATTAACAATTTGATATTTTTACTTGGATAATAATAATAATCTGTTTCTAACAAAACTACATGATTTTAATTTTAATTTTATTGATTAGTAATGTGGTACATAATAAATACTCAAAGCCTTCTGCCTCAGTCACAACATTTGATCACTATAATGTCCTTAAGGGGTTAGTATAGTCATTAGTTCCACATTATGATTGAGAAAATTAAGACCCATTAGAAGCTAGTGATTTGCTCAAGGCTATACAACAATTAAGTGACGCTCAAAACTCAAGTTCTCACTTCAAGTTCCTTGCTCTTTGACTAAACTAAGGTAAAGAAAGCCTCAGAGTGAGATCCAAATTCAAGGAAAAGTCTGTGGGTTCAAATGCACAAGTGGCTGAGACAGGGTCTGAACAGGGCTCCATTATAGGTAGTCAAATAAAGTATTCTGGTGTATAGTTTTAGGAAGATATTTCTCTTAGTTGTACTGTTAAGATATTCACTTGTTATTAACTTGGTACATGATTTATGAAGAAAATTTAATGTTAAGAGGTATAGATTTATAAAAACATAAAAGATACCAGAACAGCACAGTGAACAGTATGCTGAAGATTCTTACCTATAGTTCTACCTATAGCAACAACTCTAGGTAAATGTGTGATATGAGGCAAATTCTTTAATCTTCCTGTTTTGGGCTTCAGATTTTTTTCATTTGTACACTGAATGACTTGCACTGGATAATCTCTGTTGTCCATTTTAACTTAAAATTAAATGGTTCAGGAATGACATTTCTTTTCTTTTTTAGGAATAGTTTTTCTCACTAAAATGATTCATGGCCGTTTTAAAAAATCAGAACTTCTGGGGCATTTAAATATTGATTTAACTATTTGATAGAAACACTTAGGAAGAAAAACAGTTATCACTACCAATTAGGATTAATTTAAAGTGAAGATGAAGCATTTTGACATTATTATGTAAATTATTGAGAAAATATGATTTGTATTGCCAAAAATCTAATTACACATATATTTCAGGGATTTACCTATGACAGTGAGATATAACACAATACACATAGTATCAAATGTTTCAACTAACTGTGTAAAATGGTTTGTTGAGCTAGTTATATTAGCATATATTTGCATGTGATTATAAGGACTGTGAAGTCTATCCACAAGTAATTTTCAAGTTAAGAACTACATTACTATTACCCTGAAGGCTGTCATTTATTGATTTTTTCTTTTTGATGTTCAACTGCATGCATAGGCTAAACAGTCCACTGTCTGACAAGAATACTATTGAGAGAGGTTGCGCTCTTTCATGAAAAATCATTATTCTCTACAAATATGTTGTATATTATACATTACATTATATATGTTACATTCTTTTCATACTTTTTTGAATCTTTTTACTTTGCAAGTAAGGTATTCCATTTTTAGATGCAATATAATTTATTTAACTAATCTATACTGACAACTGTTAGTTTTTCCCCAGATTTTTAGTATGACACAGTTATGGTGATCATTTTTTTGCTAACTTGTGTTATTTTTCTTTACAATAAATTCCTAGAACTGGCAAGCTGGCAGAAATGATGATGATGTGCACTCCACCATTCCGATCCACTCTCCTGGAGCTGCTTTAACAATGTGCACGCTAACGGCTAACAACATGAGAGGCGTGTGTTTCTACGCATCATCTTTAAC